GCAGGTCTCTGACTTCATGTCACTTTATCAGGGAGGCCTTCTTTGATTGATCACATTTTATAAAATAGAAACACTCTGTCACAGCCTGTACCCTTACCCTGATTTATTTTTCATTCATAGCACTTATCAACATTGAATATATATTTATACTAGTGACCCGGTGCATGGATTCATGCACATTGAAAGGAAATTAATTAGAAGGTGGCCGGAGGGGCGGTACTGGGTGACACTGGCTGGACATGCCCTGGAGCCAATCTTCCATGGCCCCTCCCTAGTTGACCACACCTAGGGTGGTGCCGTGGCTTGAAGGGCATCTGTGGAGTGAGTGGGGTCCCTCTGGCAGGTAAGATCTCTTGGCCTGGCCTGCAGGGATTGGGCCCAAACCAGCTCTCTGACATCCCCTGAGGGATCCCAAAGTGCAAGAGGGCACACTGCAAAGTTGCTGTCCTATAGAGTGTGGAATGCAAACATAAGTGTGTGGTAAACCAGATTTGGGGCCGACAGTGTCCCAGCAACAACATAACCTTTGGCTGAAAGGTGAAATTGTGTGGCCCCACAAGGAATTGGACTACATCCTTTCTGATTTGGGGCTGATTGGTCTGCCAGTGACCCCGAGCCAGTGCAGCATGTTTATTATATACAGTATAATTCCAGGAAGTTTTACTAGTGTTTAAAACAAAGTTCAACCAGTCAAAGAAATGGATGCAATTATCTACACTTAGCCAGGAGTGATGATTACAAAGAATGAAAAATTACAGCTTGATCTTTAATCATGACCATAGCTTGATCTTTAACCATTATTTCACATAATTTCCTTTGTTTTAAACTCTAGAAAAACTTCCTGGAATTATACTGTATATAATAAACACGCTGCACTGGCTCTGGGTCACTGTCTCTCCATCAGAGGACAGTGGTCTTACCCGGTCCCAACCTTCTCTACTGTTTCTGTGTCTGTCTCTTTCTTTCATTTTCTCAGTCCCTAGCTACCCCGACTCAGGATTCATGGACTATTCTCTAGCCGTGCTGGTCTCAGTCCAAGAGAGAAATACTTAATAATAAAGGTCATGATTTCTCTTCCAAGATAACATGGCAATACAAATATAAGCAATATCTGGATAAAGGTAAGAAAATTTTCACAGTATAGAAAATAAAAGTATTTTCCCCCCTATGCTCATCTGTCTCTTAAAGGTAACCATAGTTGCATATATTTTCAATTTAATTAACCAACTAGTGGCCTGGTGCACAGATTCATGCATATTAAAAGGAAATTAATTAGAAGAAATATTTTTATATAGCTATTTGCCCTTTATTTATAATAGAAATATCAGAGATGAAATAAAATTAGTAAAATTTATATATGAAAATCCTATGTAATAAAAGGTTAATATGCAAATTGTCCACACAGGCAGGAGTTCCACTGATTGGGAATTATATGTTTGCTGACCACCAGGGGGTGGTGTGGAACATGGCAGGCATCAGGGATGCAGCGCTGGTAGGTGGTGACAGTGGAGGCACTGCCTGCCCAATGTGCCCCAAGGAGAGCAGGACCATGGCAGGATGGTGGAGTAGATAAGTTGGCGGTGCCAGGCCAAGGCAGGTGCAAAGAAAGGGAGGCCTCGGCATGCAGCAGTGGCAGGCAGCTGGGGGAAAGAGAGTCCCTGACCAGCAGCTGGCATCCACAAGGACCCTACCCATGCACGAATTTTGTGCACTGGGCCTCTAATAATATCTAAATTGGTTAATAAATAAACAATATAATATAACAATAACAAAGACATGATATAAAAACAATAAAAATATGATATAAAACAACAAAAACATGATATAAAAACAACATTGATAAAAAATGATAGCCGAAACCGGTTTGGCTCAGTGGATAGAGCGTCGGTCTGCGGACTGAAAGGTCCCAGGTTCGATTCTGGTCAAGGGCATGTACCTTTGTTGCGGGCACATCCCCAGGAGGGAGTGTGCAAGAGGCAGCTGATCCATGATTCTCTTTCATCCATGTTTCTAACTCTCTATCCCTCTCTCTTACTCTCTGTGAAATATCAATAAAATATATTTAAAAAATGACAAATTGATTAAACTTATTTTAATATCTCCCTGTATATCACATTAAGAGTAAAAACACTTTCAGAGTGCTTGACTAAATTCCCTTGTGATGAAGTATTTACAATTTTAACTTTAACATCACATGCTCTGTCAATAGCTGGTCTTCAGACATATTCTGTTGACAATGCCTCTTTCTTTCAGCTTCAGAATGTCAACAAAAACAACCAAATTTATTATCGACAATGAGAGATTGAAACACATGTGTGCAATTGGCGCCAGTAGAGAGCTTTCTATGTATTGCACATGTGTGAGTCAATGTTTATTTTTAAATTTAAAATGTTTATTTTAAATTGTCATATGCATCAGCTGGCCAGTCAGTCGGTTGGACAGTTGGATGGATGGATAGTTAGTCACTTAGCCTTTTATATATACAGATAAGTGTATTGGGTGCTTACTTTGTGTGCAGGAAAATGTTTGAGGTCTGAGGTGCTGAGGGCTTAAAAATGCAGTGCCTTTACCTTTAAGGATCTTACAGTCTTTCTGTGGAGAGAACATAAAAGAATTGAGATGTGCTGCAGAATTCAGAAGTGGGAACCATCACTGTGGGCTGGCAAGGTCAGAAAAGGTTTTCTGCATGAGAGATGCCTTGATGTGAGTTTGGGAACTGGGACAGTTTTCATTCAGCTGGAGGAGAGTGGCCCTGGGATATGGAGTTCTCTCACCAAAGGTGTCTAGTTTGCATAATGAAAAGGGCCTTTGAGCAAATGAATAGAAGTGGAGTCTGGCTGAATTTGAGGCTTCATGTTGGAGACCAGTGGGAGGAAAGACTAGAGAAGAGTGGCTGAGCAGTTATAAGAGTACTGAAAGAGTTAGGAGGCATGAGATAATAACTCAGAACAGAAGAATTATGAAGTAAAGAGATTAATTTTGCTAGACATTTTGTTCAGTTTTTCCTTGAATGTGGGGACTGCCTTTGGTTTCCTTAGCATTGTCTGCAGAATCTAGAACTGAGCTCTGCATACAGTGGATGCTACATGGATATTATTGGTGGATATTACTAATAGCCACCTTGGATGACAAGTTTAGAGGGCCCTATGGACCCCACTTCCTTCCCATTCACTTATGAAAATCACTTATGTATCATTTTACATACAAATTCTTAAAAATCCCGAGCACATCCATTGAGACATCCCAGGCAAACCGGGACAGTTTTTAGCTCTCCTCGCTTCAGAAAATCTCTGCTGAACCCACCAACTGGATAGTAGCAGTCTTGTCATGTTCTCCTCAACCTGAATTGTCCTCCCTTTCAATTGGTCTTACTCTTCTCTTTTTGCTTCAGCTTCCTTTTGAACTGTGATGACAAAAGCACAGCTGGTTTGAAGAATCCAACCAGATAATGCTGCATCTGCAGGGGCTACTTCAACTGTACAACTAAGCAACCCAAGATTTCTAGGAGCAGATAAAACCCATGAGCAATCTGTCACTGTTTAGCTTTCATTTCCAAGGTAATTCTAAAAAGTTAATGAATAGCTGGTTTAGAGTGGGGGAGAAGCAGAGAATGAATGAAGCCTCTGTTCTGCTTCTTGGCAGGACATTGAGTTAACATGGTGAGCCATTGAGGGTATACTTGTCATCACCACTGCAATTATCAAAGTGCTTTTATGAAAGGCGAAGAGCTAAGTCTGCACAGAACTACACAGCTCTGGACCTTCACTTTTAGACCATGCATGGTTTGAGACAAAATATTGATGTGGAACATGCAAGATGGATTCAAATCTTCAATATGGCTTAAATCACATTATATGCCACCATTTCCTTTATGGGTTTCTGATTACTTCTAATATGAAATTTATAAAGTAAACATATCTTATCTCTTCTAGACTATTATTTGCTCTTTGAGGGCAGAGAACCCAACCTTACACTCCTGTCTACAGATTTGCTGTACAGGACAAATATAGATGCCCAGTAAGGACTGATTAAGTCAACCAGAATCTATAGGTAGAGGCAGAGTACCTTTCATGCTAATGAATTCCATCGAACCTCAGTTTCTTCTTCTATAAAATGGGGATGGTAACTACAGACTTTATGGGGTTATTTTGAGGATAGAGGGGTCAATACATGCAAATTACTTAGCACACAACCTAGCATTATCTGCTTAACTGTTAGGTATTAACTTCTGCCTTCTGCTTAAGTAGGAGAGAAACTAAGGAAAAGAATGAGTATAGCAGCTCTCACACAAAACTGGGTATTCAAGTAAGCCTATAGAGGACGATTTGTCAGTTATCTATGTATTGGAATTGAGGGACAAAAGAAATTTACCCTCTAACATATCTGCTTTATTTTTCTGCCTTAACCTCCTCCCCTCCCCCAACAGGGATGCTTTGATAGGTGTGGGCGGGTGGGCGCTGACGCATGCGCGTGCGGGCCCTTGGCCCCTGTGGGGATTTGCACTGCAGCTAACTAAGGCTGGGGCCACTGTCCCTACAGCTGGCACCTTTTCAAGTCTTCATTCAGCAAACATTTTTAGTTAACCCAATCACCGCCAGGGGTCGTCCGTCCAGGAACTGGGGGTTTTGTAAAGGACCAGGCTCGCACCCTTGCGCTACTTCATAGACCAAGGAAACTACCCTGTTTCCCCGAAAATAAGACAGTGTCTTATATTAATTTTTTCTCCCAAAGTTGCGCTAGGTCTTATTTTCGGAGGATGTCTTATTTTGGGGGAAACACGGGTAGGTACTAGAAAACAATTCTCTGAAGGGTTAACCCAATCCAAAGAATTAAGTCACTTCCTGCACTAGTGCGCAGGCGCTGAGCCCCGAGAGGCGGAGCTAGCCTGGAGCAGCGGAACTCCGCCTAGTCCTCGGGGCGGGTGGTGGCAGAGCCGCACATGCGCCCTGCAGCCTCTCCCGGTAGTGGATTCCTCTGTATTGAGCGCGAAACCCGCGGAGATGAAGTAAGACGTCAGCTTCTTTCTGAGAAGCGGGGAGATGGGGATCGGTTGGGGGCGGGCTGCGGGGGTGACCTGCCGCGCTGGGGTGGTCTGCTCGGCCTAGGGGCGGGAGAGGCTGTAATTCCAGAAAACTAGTCCCCTAATTTTGCTCTCCTTCATCCCCCGTCGGGCCGCACTTAACTTGTCTACTCTTCCACCCCCTGGGCAGCCCTTTAACGAAAGTGAAGCTGATAAATGAGCTGAATGAGCGAGAGGTCCAGCTTGGGGTGGCGGAGAAGGTGTCCTGGCATTCCGAGTACAAAGACAGCGCCTGGATCTTCCTGGGTGAGGTTCCCATCTTCCTCCAGCAGTGCTCCTCAGTCTCTACTGCCCTGCTTCCTGACATTTCAGCTTTTCCTCCCTCCATACCTCCAGACAATCATCACCCAGTTATATTTCTTTCTGTTGTCCGCCCATAAATCTGTTTTCCATATTTATTTTCTTCCCTGTTTAGTTTGTTCTCCCTGCAACTCAGTGCTGATAGTCACTTTCTGCCATTCACTGTACTAAGAGTCTTGTCACTTCGTTTCTGTGACCATTGCCATTATTTGTATAGTTGTTTTTTTATTTATTTTTCAATTACAGTTGCCATAGAATATTGTATTAGTTTTAGTTGTACACATGGTAATTAGACATTTATAATAACTTACAAAAGGATCACCCCATTAAGTCTGAAACCCATCGGACACCATACTTCCTTATGACAATATTCTATTTTTAAAAAATATATTTTTATTGATTTCAGAGAAGAAGGAAGAGGGAGAGAGAGATAGAAACATCAAAGATGAGAATTATTGATTGGCTGCTTCCTGTACACCCTCTACTGGGGATCCAGCCCGAAACCTGGGCACCGAGTTTGAAACCCAGGCATGTGCCCTTGACTGGAGTTGAACCCAGGATCTTTCAGTCCCCAGGCCGATGCTCTGTCCACTGAGCAAAACCAGCTAGGACTTGGCTATATTTTCTGTGCTGTATTTCACATTCCCATGACAGTTTTGTAACTATCAATTTGTACTTCTTAATCCCTTTACTTTTTCACCCATCCCCCATTAACCTCCCTCTCCTCTGGCAGCCATTAATCTCTTCTTTGTATCTATGACTCTGTTTCTGTTTTGTTTTTTCATTTTTTTAAATTCCACATATAAGTGAAATCTTGTGTTTGTGTTTCTGTCTCAGATCATTATCAGCTGAGGAAACTGAGGCACTAAAAAGTTAATGGTCTTTTTAAGGTCACATAGTAAATGGAATAGCCAGAATTATGGGATTCTAGAACTCATGGTCTTAGCCACTATCCCATATTACTGCTAATTCCTTCCCACCCTAATCCCTTTCCTTCAGAATTTATTTTCCTCATCTGATTAGTTCTGGCCTTCTGTTCTTGTTTATACAATATTACCATCTCTCTATTCACTTTGTGTCACATCCAGTAATTTGACAGTTTGTTCAAAGAGGTGATTGCACCAGTCATGATGCTAAGCACTTTATATTCATTGTTTTATTTAATTCTTATAACAATTCTGTGAGGTAAGTACTAATATCCCCATTTTATAGATGAAGGAAACTTTTGCAGGGGAATTTATTTCCTATGAAATGCTTAGCAATTGACTAATCCTTAGTCTATGTGAGGTGGAATTAATATTTGCATATTTAAACTGAGTTCTCTGATGGAAGACCTTGTGGCTTACTCTTTTTTGTACCCTCAGTGCCTAGCCTAGTGCATGGTATTAATAGACATTTGGTAAAATGTTAGTTGAACTGAAATGTTATCTCTTCTAGGAGGACTTCCCTATGAACTTACTGAAGGAGATATCATCTGTGTATTCTCACAGTAAGTTTCCTTTCATGTCCTGCCTTCTGGGTTGTCAGACTAATTTGCTTTTATAAGATATTTTTGTGGCATCACAAGAGCCATTTGTTTTCATTTTATGTTGACTGGCTGGTCTGCATGGTGAGGGCTGGAGTTCCTACTCTAGTCTAGGTCAATCACAGGACATAGTTCTACAACTCTCCCAGTGTGGAAAATCCCAAGAAGTTGGATGTTTTAGGAGGCTGTCTTGGGAATTCTGGTCTATTTTTACTGCTTTTTCACTGAGGATTGTTCTGTGTGGGCCTACAGTGCAACACACTGCAACTCCCAGGAAGATACTATGTTGGCCCACATCCTTGGGCTCTTATAAACTAGGGGTATTTCATGATCACAGGGCCCTTCTGGACCCACACTTGTGTGGCCTTGTAGAATTAGGGCAAAGCACAGTAGAATTGGTGGGGGAAAAACCCACAGAAGTTTTAGGCAGTAGTTTGCTTTCTTTGTTTCTAGATGAATGTAAGGTTGGTGAGCAGAGTATGTCTCTTTACCCAGAGCTGAGAATCAAAGGCCGATGAGGAACACAAATGAAGAGGGGAACCTTACCTTTTTCATTCTATGAGATGATCACAGCAGCTCTGGATGGGAGAGGGTCTTGGCAGCTCACACTGGTATTGGCAGCAGATTTAGGAGAGGGGCTGGGTACAACCCCAGAGCTACAGAGTGACTAGATAGTCCTTAGAGCCAGGGGGCCTTGGCAGCACACAGGAGAGGTCCAAGGCCCATGGATTATGTGGCCATCAGGGGCAGAGGACTACTGCAGGGAATTTGGATAGCATGTACAGGTAGAGGACCATGGCAAACAGGATGTAGCAAGCAAACATAGCCAGCACACCCTGGCAGAGACATTGCCATGGTAGGTTATGGCTGGGGTCACCCCATAGGCAGAAGGTACTGGCTTAGTGGTTGGGCAGCAGTCAGAGAAGTCCATGGGAAAGACATTGGGCAATACATATGAAAGGGCCATGGTGGAGGGCCTGGGCAGTCCACACAGGCAGAGGGCCATGGCTGGGATAGAGATTGCTTCTTCCAACTTCTAAGCATCAGGAAGTTCACAGAAAGTACAGCCTGGAATGTCTACCCCATTCATGGTACCTCTCCCTGCTCCAGCCTTCCATCTAGGAGCTGTTTTTGTCTTATTTGCATTGAGTGATGATCAGCTAGTGTGTGGATTTATTCCAATTCTCTGCTGTGGCTACACACATTGCTCTTCATGAAGATTGCCTTTGTCACTGGTAACAGTGGCTTTCAAAAAATAGTTTGTTTTCTGATTATCAAGGTAATGTATAGTCATTATAGAACATTTGGTAAAAAAAAAGGTATAAAGAAGATAATAGAATGTACTTTAAGGAAAACTGTTAATTGGGTGTACTTTATCATTTTTTAAATTGCTGGGCATAATTTCCAGTATTTGCTGCTATAAATTATACTGCTATGTTCATTGTGGTATCTATATCTTTGTATGTATTCCTGATGGTTTCCTTGGTGAAATTATGGGATCCATATGTTAGTATTTTTAAGATTTTTAAAAAAAATATGTATTTATTGATTTTTTACAGAGAGGAAGGGAGAGAGAGAGCTACAAACCTCGATGAGAGAAACATCGACCAGTTGCCTCTTGCACACCTCCTACTGGGGATGTGCCCGCAACCAACGTACATGCCCTTGACTGGAATTGAACCTGGGACCTTTCAGTCTGCAGACCGATGCTCTACCACTGAGCCAAACTGATTTCGGCTATTTTTAAGATGTTTTATAAACATTGGATATTGCTCTCTGAAAAGGTTATAGCAATTTCTGCTCTCACTAGAATGCCCATTTTTCTGACTCCTAATCAGCAGTCATTATCTTAAAAATATTTGCCATATGGCTTCTTATTATTATTTTATTTTGCCTTTATTTCATCATCAGTGAGGAGCATATTTTTTCATAGATTTATAAGCCTTTATTGTTGGTTTTGTTTTTTTGTCAATTGTTCATATCCATTGCCTATTTTTTTCTATTGGTTTGTTTCTCATTTTCTTACTGATTTTATAAGAGCCCTTCATGTATTAAGGATATTAACTCTTTATTATACACTTTGTCATATATTGTATTACTATGGACTTATTTTATTAAAGTTTGATGTATTATACTACATTGCCATCATTATTATTTCCTGATGTTCAAATTATTCCAATGTGATCTGTTAGGAGTCCCTTCAAGCCAGCTTCTATGTTCTTTTTTTCTTTTGAAAGAATTTCAGGCTTAAAGCTTAAAAGTTATAAAATAGGATACAGAATACTTTTATCCCTTTTATTCAGAGCTCCCAGATATTAGCATTTTACCATATTTGCTTTATTGCTATTTTCTTCCATATGTATATATATATATATATTTTTTTTAACCATTTGAGAGTCAGTTGCAGACATGATTCCCATTTATTCCAAAATTCTTCAATGTGTATTTCCCAGAACCCAAGGACATTCTCTTCTTTAATCTCAGTATAGTGATCAAATTCAGGAAATCAATACCAATACAATATTATTATCTAAAGACTTTATTCAGCTTCACCAGTTATCCTGATAATGTTCTTTATAGCAAAAGGGAAAAAATACCTTTCTGGTCCTTATCTGTAATGTAACTTGCAAATAATATTTTCTCCTAGTTTGTCATTTGTCTTTTGACATATTGTGATTTTTATGCTATGCAGGATTATTATTTTTATGCATTCATTTGTAATAATGTTTCAATTATGATAAAATTGACTTTTTAGGAATTTTAATACATTTATAGATTTGTGTAATCACCGCCACAATTAGGATGAAGAACAGTTCCAAAAACTCCCTCATACTGTCACTTTATAGTCTCCCCATCTAGTACTCGATGTGGCCAAATTTATCAGTCTTTTTTTCTATTGCTTCTGGATTATGAGTCATAATTAGAAAGTATTTCTCCCTACCCAGCCATCTGTGTTCTCGTCTAGTACTTGTGCAGTTTCAATTTTATGCATTGAAATCTTTAATCCATCTATGATCTGGTATATAGTGTGAGATAAGGATCCAATTTCATGTTTTTTTTCAAGTGGCTATCTAGTTGTCCCAACAACATTAATAAAAATGCCCATTTGTTCCCCAGCAAAGTGGGATGTTGCCCTTATATATGACTAGAGGCCTGGTGCACGAAATTCAAGCACTCGGGGGAGGAGGGTCCCTCAGCCCAACCTGCACCCTCTCGCAGTCTGAGAGCCCTTGGGTATGTGCAACTGACTGGAAGTAGACCTAAGCCAGCAGTGGGATATCCTTAGCACTGTCATGGAGTCAGGAGAGGCTCCTGCTACCACTGCTGCACTCGCCAGCCCAGAGTCCGGCTTCTGGCTGAGCGGCGCTTCCCCCTGTGGGAGCACACTGAAGCTCCTGTGTTGAGTGTCTGCCCCTTGGTGGTCATTGCGCATCATAGAGACCAGTCATTCCACCGTTCGGTTGATTTGCATATTAGCCTTTTATATGGGATTTTTCCATATACACATTAGTTTCTTTCTTGGTTTTCTATTCTGTTCTATTGGTCTGTCTGTTTCTTTATGTGCCATCATAAAAGCTTTTTAGTGTATTTAATATCTGGGAGAGTTACTTCTACCTATTGTTCTTTTTAAAAGTTTTCCCAGATATTATGTTCATTTTTCCACAAGGACTTTAGAATCAACTTATCTAGCTCCAGAGGAAACAACACACAACTTGTATTTTAAATTGGGATTACATTAGATTTCAGTATTAACTTTGTGGAAGATTTTGATATCTTTATGATGTTGACTCATTCTATCAAAGAACAAGGGATGGCTTTATATTTGTTTAAATCTATATTTGTATCTTTCAGAAGTTTTAAAAAGTTTTCTTTATAAAGGCTTTATACATTGAATATATATCTAACTGAATGTTGCTTGTATGTAAAAGAATAATTTATTTTTGTTAACTTAATATCCTGTCACCTTTCTGAATTGTTATGCTGTTTGTTTTTATCATTGTTTATCGTTGCTTCTGTTGGGTTTTCTGTATATATCTACACTATTAAAAGAGAAAGATGCAGATTGACCATACCTTTGTGATGCCTGCCAGCCAATTAGGAGTGAGTATGCAAATTAACCCAACAAAGATGGGAGGCTAATTTGCATATGCAGGCACCGACAGCCCCAGCAGCTCTGGGCCTCTGGGCAGCATGGGAAGGTGGAAATGCGGCTCTGGGCTGGAGCAAAGGTGGTGCCAGCAGCCAGGGGAAAGAAGGCCATTGCTTGCATGAATCTTCATGCATCGGGCTACTAGTTAATATATATAATCTTAGAACAGAGACAGTTTTACTTCTTTTTTCATTTCTTAAATGTTTTCTGCTAATTTCTTGGCCAATATCTACAATGTTAAATAGTGTTAAATAATTCCTGATCTTAGTTAGATCATCTCTTTTAATTTCTTTTTTAAATTCTAGTTTAATTTTTTTAAAAGAGGTTTTTATTGATTTTAGAGAGAGAGGAAGGGAGAGGGAGAGAGGAAAATGTGAAAGGGAAACATCAACCAGCTGCCTTCTACATGCTTCCTATTGGAGTTTGAGCCCACAACCTCAACATGTACCCTGACTGGGAATCAAACCAGTGACCTTCTGGTGCATGGGACGATGCTCAAACAACTGAGTCATACTGGCCAGGGCTCTGGTAATTTCTGTCAAGTAAGATGCTAGATTTCGGGCCCAGGTGTATGTACTTGATCATGTTACATAATATATCCATTAATTCCCATTTTAATTTTATTACTGTTTTTTAAATTTATGATGCTTTAACTTATCTGGAATTTACCTTTGGATGAGGAGTAAGGTAGATTTTATTTACTCTCATCTGCTTTTCTTAGATTTGCTTTCTTAGTTTTAGCTACATCCCATAAGTTTTAGTATATATTATTCTCATTTTTGTAATTTTCTAAATAGTCTGTCATTGACTTTTTCTTTGTTTCATTTCCTCTTTCATTCATTAGCTAGGATAGTAGGCTGCAAGTTCTAAGTTTACTTTGAGACCTATGCTATAGTCAATTTTTTAGAATATATTTTTTTCTGATTTCAGAGAGGAAGGGAGAGAGGGATATAGAAACATCAATGATGAGAGAGAATTATTGATCAGCTGCCTCCTGCATGGGCCCACACTGGGGATCAATCCACAACCCGGGCATGTGCTCTTGATTGGAATCGAAACCAGGACCCTTCAGTTTGCAGGCCAGAGCTCTATCCACTGAGCCAAACAAGGAGGGCTGCTATAGTCAATTTTAATACATGTTTCAAGGATTCTTGAAGAAGAAATTGTCATCTTTTTATAAGATTTTAATATATCTCTATATCTACTAGTCTGATATTAATTAATATTTGTTAGCAATTTAACTGTTACATTATTAATTGCTTGTTTCCTTATATTTATGTTAAATAACTATATATCAGTTACATTAACTCTCCTGACCTTTTTTTTGTTAACTTTGTGTTATAAATTTAAAGTGGTATGTTAAAATCTCTCATAACTTTAATTATGTTTCTCTTTGTATTTCTAAGTTTCATAATTAAAATGTTTTGATTTGTCAATTTGTGCATAAAATGTCATGATTTGTACTTTTATTATGTATTAGGACCTTTTTGGGGGCCTTAAATTCATCTTCAATCTTAATATTACCACCCACTTTTTAGTTGGGTGTTCTTGTTATATCCTTGTCTAACTTAATTTTTAACCTTCCTATGTTATCTTGTTCTAGATATATTTCCTGTATAGATTATATTATTTGAATTTTATTTTGTCATCCAATCCGAAAATGTTTGCATTTTAAATCAATAATGTTTTACTCTTTTATAAAATAGATATGGGGAGATCGTTAACATTAATCTGGTGCGGGATAAGAAGACTGGGAAATCCAAAGGATTCTGTTTCCTCTGCTATGAAGACCAGAGGAGCACAATTCTGGCTGTTGACAATTTTAACGGAATAAAAGTGAGTGTGCTTACTAAGCAGGATTTGCCTGTACTTTTACTATGTAGGGGTTTGATTTCATTACCCACCTGATCTCCACAGGCTCAAGGACAGTCTGGTCAGCTGAGTATTTTGTGAGGGTTGTAGAGGTATGGGGACATACTGACCTACAAATGATCCCAGGAAATAATTCCATTGGCTCATGATCCTTCTATCCTATTCCCTTTTCCCATCTCATACCAACTTATCTCTCTAGGAGCATAGATTCCATGCCCCCCCCCCCCGCCCACACACACACACATACACATACCCCAAGCCTCTATTTTTCACCTTTTCCTCCTCACACTCCACTCTTATCTCAGGTGTGTTGGAAAACAAAGAGATTAGCAAACACTGCTCTTCCATGCTGTCCTGTGTTAGGGGATTTGGTGCTCTATGTTGGCTGCATGACCTAGAACATAGCTGTCATATGCTTCTAATGACTTAGCAATCAATACTGGGCCCTGGATATTCTCTAGGTAAAATCTAATGACAAATTCTACAGAAATCATTCTGAAGTTTTCTGTCCTCGTTTCCCCTAATACCAACCCCTATAAGTGAGACATAGGGCTGAGGACAGGCATACCTATGCTTCACATGGTCCCTACGCTCATTTAGGAAAAGCATTACAGTTGAATGAGCATTGTTGCAGGCTGGGAGTTGACACTTGACTTGGAGAGTTTTCCCTGATTGCACCAGAATTGAACAGTTGGTGACTATAGGACAGGGTGGAAAAAGGTTCCATGCTTGATTTTTAAAAAATATATATTTTATTGGTTTTTTACAGAGAGGAAGAGAGAGAGGGATAGAGAGTTAGAAACATCGATGAGAGAGAATCATCGATCAGCTGCCTCTTGCACACCCCCTACTGGGGATGTGCCCGCTACCAAGGTACATGCCCTTGACCAGAATTGAACCTGGGACCTTTCAGTCCACAGGCTGATGCTCTATCCATTGGGCCAGACCGGTTTCAGCTCCACACTTGATTTTTAAGAGAGCCAGCAGTCCAAGGGAGTCACTATGAAAGGAAGGTTTTCAAAGATGTTTTGAAATGGGGAAGAGGATAGATGACAGAAGCTGATTAGGCCAAAGATAAGAATAAAAATCTGCTTTTGTATTAGAATTATAAAAGCCAGAAATTTTTCAAATTTCAGATGGTTTTGCCGATAGAATAAGTGTATATCTGCCTGAATGTTTTTGTTTTAAGCGAGGGGTTAATGTTTTTGTTGCTCACTGGGAGAGTGATTTAAGTGAAAGTATTAATGTGAGCCAGTTATTCTGGTAGGGTGGGGTGGGACAAAGTGTGAGGGCTTAAGAAAAACAACAGTGGTCTTTTCAGGACTGGATGAAATAACCAAGTGGTTGAATAGAGCTAGAAAACAACAACAAAGTAAAACAACACAGTGGTCTTACTATAATAGATTTCTCTTCCCCTCCCAACTGTTGGTCTGCCTTAGCCTCATTCTAATTGCTGTGTCGAGGAAGCAGCTGTAGCCCTGGGCTCGATTACAGGAATTTCTTCTAGCTGCCATGGTATATTACACTATAAATTATTGTTACAGATTGAAGGTAATTCACTGTTTGTGCATATAAGTTATGCATTTTTCTCTGCTGCTTTGTTGGCAGAGCTTCCGAGCCTTTTTTACTTCACAGCACATGTAAAACATTAAGATATTTGTATGGCCCCCTGGGGTAAGCTGAGGAGCCTACCTAATACAATTGCCCCATGGGCTCCAGCTGCCCCGGGCCCCACTGGCTGTCCTGAGAGCTGAGGGAATATGTAGGTATATGTGCATGACACCAGTTGGGCAGGTCTGTTTAGAGATTTTTCCAGAAATAGAATTAGCAGGAAGGTAGTGGGTTTAGTTCAAACCATGGTTCCCTGCAGCTGGGTTCAAATAGTTTGGTAGGAGTGATGTCTTTGCTGATGCATTGCCTGTCTATCTTAGATTAAAGGAAGAACTATCCGAGTGGATCATGTGTCTAACTATCGGACTCCTAAGGAATCAGAAGAAATGGATAGTGTGACCAGAGAGCTCCAGGAGAAGGGCTGTGGGGCTCACACCCCCTCATCAAATTCATCTGAGGGCTCTGAAGAGGACAGACCCACCAAAAAGCACAAAAAAGGTAAAGCGTTAAGACCTAAGAGAAGATTCTGGGTAGTATTAGTGTTTGATCTGACTAGCATTCACTGCGACTTGATAATCAATTTTTATATGTGGAGGGGTGGGGAACCTTATTTTAATTGGGAAAGGAGAGATGGTATCATCAGAAGGCTAGTGTTATGGGTTGCACTGTGTACCTTGAAAATGCGTATGTTGAAGTCCTAACTGCTAGTACCTCAGAAAATGACTGTATTTGGATCTTTAAGGAGGTAATTAAGGGTGGGAATTGCCTTATACAGTGACTTGACATATCAAGGGTGACAGATCCAGCTTGGCTTCCCAGAGGCACTTTTCTGGAAGGATAGACTGATTGCTTGATGCTACTGCCAAGGATGCTTTCCTTTTTCATATCTCTCATCTCCTCCAATTCCCTTTTCTTTTTTTATTAAAAAATATTTTTATTGATTTCAGAGGGGAAGGGAGAGTAAGATAGAAACATAAATGATGAAAGAGAACCATTGATCGGCTGCCTCCTGCACGCATGCCCCCTACTGGGGGTTAAGCATGTGCCCTGACCTGGAATTGAACTGTGACCTCCTGGTTCATAGGTCACTGAGCCATGTTGGCCAGGCAATTTCCCTTTTCTTATTGATTGTACCTCTTTTTTTCCCCCTCTAGACAAAAAGGAAAAAAAGAAAAGAAAGAAAGACAAAGACAAGACTGATCAGGAGGAACTGGCAGAGCAGCCAGCCTCCTCTTCAGCTCCTAGAAGCAAGATGATAAAGGAAAAGGATGACCCTGGCTCTAAAAAGCACAGCAGCAAGAACTCAGAGAGGGGTCAGAAGCCAGAGTCTAGGGAGGTGCGAAAGCACCGCCCCAGTTCCCCTGAGGTCAAGACAGCATGCCACGGGAGAGCAGAGGACCATGAGCGGGAGCTGAAGAGGGAGAAGTCCAAGCACGAGCACAAGTCCTCAAGCAGGAGGGAAGAAAGAGAAGAAAAAAACAGGGACAGAGGTCGAAGCTCAGACACACATGAGGGGCATGCTGAGGGACATGGCCGAAGAAGTAGAAGTAGGAGCCGAGATAAATCCCATAGGCCTAAAAAGACCCGGCATTCTCCGAGACCTTGACCCCTCAAATCCCAGTGACCGCAGGAATCACTGAAGCTGAAGTCTGGGCAGCTACTCAGTGGAATTAAAAATATAGTCAAATTCAATTATGCTTTATTGTTTCTGTATGTAAAATCTCTGAGGTTGCATTCTTTAATCCCTAAAGTATTAGAGTTATTGATGGTGCAGTAGTTTCAACAGCCACATGTCCAGGAGTTAGTTTGATTTAAAACACTTTTAAAAATACATTTTTATTGATTTCAGAGAGGAAGGGGGGAAATAGACAAAAACATCAATGATGAGAGAGAATTATTGATTGGCTGCCTCCTGCACGCCCCACATTAGGGATTAAGCCTGCAACCAGGGTATGTGCCTTGACTAGGAATTGAACTGTGATCTCTTGGTTTACAGGTCGACACTCAACTACTGAGCCACACTGGCCGGGCTGTGCTAGAGTTTTGAGCAAAATTCATTGTCCCTGAGAATATGCTTGGTGTTTATCAGAGTATGTATCCTAAAATTGGGTTTATAAGCATGGCCCTTGACTTTATGACTCCAATTAATGAAATGTCCAGGAAAGAGGAAATACCAGGGAATTCTAGAATTCTAGTTTTTGTGATAGAAATTTAGATCTCTTGCAGTGACCTTTCCAGTTGGCAGGTAGACCCATCGAGTAGAGAAGTATGGCTTAACTAGGTTTGGACAGCTTGATGTGAATGTGATAATGATTCATAACATCAGCTTGCTTCTGCCCCACTCCTTCCTGATTTTGAAAATTTAAACATCTTTTTGGTTGATAAATGTCTCCACATTTTTTTTTGCAATTTATTTTTATTGAGGTGAAATTCATGTAACCTCAATAAAAGTAACCATTTTTTAAAAAGTAACCATTTTAAAGAGAACAATGTGGCACATTCACAGTATTATCTAGTCCCAATACATTTTCATCACCCTACCGTGAAACCCAGTACCCATTAAGCAGTTATTCCCCATTTCCTCCTCCTTGTCCCTGGCAACCACCAGTGTACTTTCCATTTCTATGACTTTACCTATTCTGGACATTTCATATCAATTGAGTCATACAACATGTGGCCTTTTGTGTCTGGTTATAACTCAGTATGTTTTCAAGGTTATTCCATGATATAGTAGAGAAGTACTTAATTCCTTTTTATGACTTAATAGGATCCCATTGTGTTTATCCTTTCCTCAGTAGGTGGACATTGGGTTGGTTAGCCAGGTCCATTCTTTTTAAAAACTATTGAATTTATTGGGGTGACATTAATAAAATTAAACAGGTTTTAGGTATACAATTCTACAGTATATTATTGGTATATTGCATGGTGTGTTTACCACCCCAAGTCAAGTCTATTTCCATCACCATGTATCCCCCTTTATTTTCTACCTCCCCTGATCCCCACTTCCCTCTGGAAATCAGCATACTGTTGACTGTGGCCATGAATCTTTCTTTTTTTTCTTTGCTTAGTCCCTTCACCCTTTTCACCCAGCTCCCAATCTCTTTCCCACTGACAGCTGTCAGTCTTTTCTCTATCTATGAGTCTGTTTCCACTTTGTTTATTTTGTTCATTAGATTCCACGTATAAGTGAAATCATATAGTTCTTCTCCCTTTCCATGTTCCAGATATATCATGCTACTTTGAGGTTTAGTCTGCTTTACAAGGAGCTGCTCTTGATGAGATGAGAACACTGTCCACTCATTGCATATCTATATGGTCAACTTGGCAGTTCTTTCCCATTTTGAGAGTGTTGTCTTTCTGTTTTAGCAATCAGTCATTTATAAATTGGTAGGAACTAGTTCACAGGATTTTAGCACCCCTGCTGAATTATTAAATAGATTTTCTACCATACAAAACAAGACTAGAGCTTTGATAGTGAATGAATGAATGAATTGAGGGTTCTTGGTATGTCAGTTGGCTACTAGATTAGATGTGCAAGAGGTTTTTTTTTTTTGGGGGGGGGGTGGCAGGAGGGAATGCCCAAGGGGGAAAATGAGGAGGGAGCTGGAGGAGTCAGGGAAAGCTGACTGATGTAGGTCTGACCTCTGGAGAAGAGGGAAGGAAAGAAAGAAGGTTGGGTAGGAAAAGTTCTATACTACTGTGGAGTTCTAAGAACATTTTAGCAAGACCAGTGGTGTGTCCTTGAGCCAAAATTACTTGTCAGAGGAATTCTGCTAGATCAGCCTTGTTAAGCAGGACCTTCATCAGCCTTGTGACCACTTTGCTTGTGTGTCCATCGTGCCAATTGTTTGGTAGCAATTAATGAAGGCCCATTCACCTGCCTGAATCATTTTGCCTGCTAGGTGGCATAGAGCTTCTTCCAGTGGATGCTCTCTGGTAGGTGTTATCATATGATGCAGAAATCTTCACACTTTGCTCTCACATGTTAATTCCACACTCTTTACAGCAGACCCCCCCCCCCCTTTTTTTTTTTTTTTAGCATATTACACTTTTATTACATAGGATGTGGAAGAATTACAATAAACAACATATGTGACACTAACAGGTGACTGAAAAGAGGGAAAGACAATGACTAAGCATGTTACTTTAAAAACTGTTCAAGAGCCAAGCTAGCATGGCTCAGTAGTTGAGTGTCAACCTATGAACCTAGGGTTCACAGTTCTATTCAAGGCACATACTCAGGTTGCAGGCTCTATCCCCAAAAAGGCATGTGCAGGAGGCAGCCAATCAATAATTCTCTCTCATCACTGATGTTTCTATCTCTCTGTCCCTCTCCCTTCCTCACTCTCTAAAAAAATCAATAAAAACATTTTTTTTCAACCCTGACCGGTTTGGCTCAGTGGGTAGAGCGGCAGTCTGTGGACTCAAGGGTCCCAAGTTCGATTACGGTCAAGGGCACGTACCTTGGTTGAGGGCACATCCCCAGTAAGGGGTGTGCAGGAGGCAGCTGATCTAGTTTCTCTCTCATGGATGCTTCTGACTCTTTATCCTTCTCCCTTCCTCTCTGCTCCTTGACCTCAGGCCCAATGGGCCTGGTCAGCTCCTCTAGTCGCTGCCTCCCGGGTGGTGCTCGCTGGCCTGGGGGCAGGAGCTGGGGTAGCTCAGCCACCCGCTGAGCCCCATCCTCCCCCCCCCCATCCTCCCCACGGGCAGCCTGCGGGGGCCCGCTGAGGTTGGGCGGGGGCCGTTGAGGTCAGTCGCCAAAGCGGCTCCTTTTCATCGCTGCTGCTGGGCCCCAGGGGCGTCAGCGCCTCGACAGTCCCGATCCTGCACATCTCCGGGCCGCAGCGCTGCCGTGCCAACCACCGCCCCGCAGCCACCATGGCCCGGTGGGCACCCGAGGCCACCGACCCCAGCTCGCAGCTCCTCTGCGCTTTCTGGGGCCTCTCCAGGCGCTCCTCACGAAGAAGGCAGCATAGTCGCCGCCTCGTTTTCTGCCCACCCTGCACGCGTTTAGCCGGCCATCCGCAGGCGATGCTGCCGGCTCTCAGCAGACCTCCTTGTCTCTAATCTTCCAGCCTTTTTCCTTCCAGACTAGACTGCCAGACCATTCACTACTGCCCAGGAATCTATATATGCAATAGTCTCATGTAGACCACTTCCAAACCAAGTCAAATGCACTGCTTGTGTTTCTGTTCAATTTTTCTTCACCCCTGAATGTGGCTATAATGCAGATGCTATCCTTCTTCATTTTTCACTCACAAACTGAACTGACCCATCTGTAAACTGAGCTGAAGCTGATCTCTCCTTAATCTGGTCATATAGGAACTCCTTTTTCCTCTTCTTAAAGAATACTTTTCAGCATTTCATATAATTCTGGTTTGGTGGTGATAAACTCATTTAGCTTTTTCTTATTTGTGAAGCTCTTTATCTGACCTTCAATACTGAATGATATCTTTGTTGTGTATAATAGAATAATCTTGGTTGTAGGTTCTTGTTATTCATCACTTTGAGTATTTCTTGCCATTCCCGTCTGGCCTGCATAGTTTCTGTTGAGAAATCAACTGACAGTCATATGTGTGTTCCCTTGTATGTAGCTAACTGTTTTTCTCTTGCTGCTTTTAATATTCTCTCTTTTGCTTTAGGCATTTTAATTATGATGTGTCTTGGTGTGATCCTCTTTGGATTCCTTTTTTTGGGGGTTCTGTGCACTCTCTGGGCTTGTCTTTCTTTCACCAGGTGGGGGAAGTTTTCAGTCACTATTTCTTCCAATAGGTTTTCAATATCTTGCTCTCTCTCTTCTTCTGGGACCCCCATAATTCTGATGTTGGTACACTTGAAATTGTCCCAAAGGCTCCTTACACCAATTTCATATTTTTGGATTCTTTTTTCTTTTTGCTTTTCCAGAGGAGTGTTTTTTGCTTCTTTGTATTCCAAATCTTTGACTTGATTTTTGTGATCCTCTAGTATGCTTTTAGATCTCTGTATATTTTTATTTCAGTCAGTATATGCTTAATTTCCAGTTGACCATTTTTCATATCCTCAAGGGTCTTGTTAAATTTATCAGACTTTTCAAGGAAATTCTTGAAAAACCTTATAACAGTGGTTTTGAACCCTATATCTAGTCATTTGCTTTTCTCCATTTCCTTCATTTGTGACCTGCCTCTTTGTCTCCACATTTTAGCTGCTTCCCCAAGTTGATGGAATGGCTTTGTGTGCTATGTGTCCTATATGGCCCAGTGGTTCAGGCTCCTCAGTTACCTGAGGTGGACGCTCTTGATGTGCCCCTTTGTGGGCTGTGTGTGCAGTCTTGTTGTAGTAAAACCTAGATTGTTGTTCGTATCACGGGGGGGAGTTGACCTCCAGGCCAATTGGCTGTGAGGATCAGCTGTGTCTATGCTGGGAGAGCTTCTGTGCTCAGCTTGGATGGGATGGAGTCTCAGGGTGGAGCAGACAGCCTTGTTTTCCCGTCAGCTTCACCCTAGGATGCCCCTGTGTCTCAGTGTCCTGTGGCAATGGCCTGCCCTCTCAGCACACTGTGCCTCTGCACCCCTGCCTTCCAGAGCTCACCTGAGTCTCAGTGTGCTTTTTCCTGACAGTCCAGTT